TCTTCATTGTGATGGATGAAGCCATAGCTATGTAACTGGCTCCGATTCACGTACCAATGCGAACCAAAGCAAAACTTAAGCCTCAAGGTGCTGATGGCCAGTTCAGTTACAAGAGGATATGTGCAAGAGTAGAATCCCTAGGTAGTGCAAATGGTTAAAGTACTTGGCTGTACAACTGAAAGGTTGGAGGTTCAAGTCCACCCAGAGGTCACTTGGAAGAAAGGCCTGGCTATTTAATCCCAAAAATCATCCATTGAAAACCTTTAGTACAGTTGTACTCTGATGCACATGGAATCACCATGAGTTGAAGTCAACTCTATGGCAACTGGTTGGTTTATTTACAAGAGCAATAGTCCACCATTGACTTCACCTAAGGAGAGCAAGGGGACAGGTATAAAGGGTGTCACTGCTGCACCAGTATGGGGACAGCTTGGGAAACCCTAGCCAATCGTCTATTTCCTCAGAGTTCTACCTATGAAGGAGTCCTGAATCTTCATTGAATCCTCCCTGCGTCAGTCATAGGCAGTCAGAGAGCAGATCACACCAAGTCTAGGGCTAAAAATGAAAGCAGGGTCTCACTGAACACCCGACAGCTGCAGAGGCCTTTCTTCCAGTGAACCTGATGTCAAAACAAAACAACAAATTCAAAATTCCACTGTGATACCTCCTTACAGCAATCTAGAATAACAGGAGACTAGTACGCTCTTAAGGAGCTCTGGTAGCGTAGTGGTTAAGAATCGGGCTGCGAACCTTAAGGTCAGCAGTTCGAGACTACCAGCAGCTCCGCTGGAGAAAGATGAGGCTTTCTGCTCCCGTAAAGATTTACAGCCTCGGAAACCCTGTACAGGGTTGCTATGGATCGGAATCGACTCAAAGGCACTTAACAACAACAACAAAGTATGCTCTTAGAACATCAACATGTGCCATATTCCTTATGCCGGATGAACTCCTTGACTAACAGAAACACAAGCAAGGCACTGAAAGCTGAAAATTATAGGTCAGAAGATTTGATGGGAAATACTCATGGTGTCGCGTGGAGGCAAAAATAAACGCTCCAAAACTGACTGTGCAAGGTCATCTCAATACTTGTGTCCTACTCCTATGTGGCACTGTAGTATAAGCAATGGACTGCAAGGTTGATTTGAGCCGCAATGTGGCACTTCCAACCCAGGCTCACTATGAATCAGAACCAACTTGACAGAACTTAACAACAAGATGCACATGCATGAATCTTGGAGGAAACAAACTCACACGGAAACAGTTGAGATTTCTGGGTGATGAAGTAATGACTTCATTTTGTTTTCTTCTTTAGATTTCTGCAGATATTCAAGACTCTTGATTAGATGTACTGCTATAGAGTAATAACATTTTATTAAGAAAAAAATACAGGCACTTGGGTTATATTTGAGGCCAGCTTCACCACTTTAAAAAAAAAAAAAATTAAAGAAAGAAAGAGTTATTCTCAAGTTGATTCCAACTGAAGGCAACCAATGGGTGCAAAGTAGAACTGTGCTTTAAGGAATTTTTAATGGCTATTTTGCAAGTCCTGGTGTGGCACTGTTGGATAAGCACTGGACCACAAGGTCAGTTTGAACTGCAAGATTGGTGGTTCAAACTCACCAGCTGATCCTTGGAAAACCCTAGACAGGGTCACTATGAGTCGAAACCGACTTGATGGCACTTAACAACATTTTGTAAGTAAATGATCGAGCTTCTCTTCTAAAAAAATTCTGGCACTGACATGAACCTACAACCTTTTGGTTAATAGCAGAGAGCATTAACTTTCTGCACCATCCTGGAAACTTCAGCTCACCACATACTGGCTGTTTACTCTGAGGATCATTGCTACTGAAATTTGCTACCCTCAGAATCCTTCTCTTCAGAAGAGGTCCTCCCTCACAGGGACAGTACAAGCACTTTATGTGATGAGGTAGAAGGTAGCAGTTTGAAAAGCATAAAGGTAATCTTGGGTTCCAGTTTCTATATATCTCATTTACACATACTTATTTATGCATCTATTCTTCTTTGAACTCCTGGGATGGGGCTGTAGGACAAGCACTGGACTGCTAACCACAAAGTTAGTGCTTCAAGCCCACCAGCCCTTCCTTGGAAACCCTACATATGATCGCTATGAGTCGAAACCAATTTGACAGTACATAACAACAACTACAAAATCCATCTTTAAAAAGTCTTTCAAAACAAATCCAGTCGATACCTGGTAGTTTTCTCCATTTTTTGTCAGCGTATCCTACAACAAAATCACTTAAGAATCTGTTTGAGATAAAAGTCAATAAGGACTTCAGTTTCAATCACATAATTAGTATACCCCACCCTGATTCCAAAATAGTCCTTTTTATAGATTATTTTAGAGATTTCACCTTTTTCTACCCATGTGCGTCCTAAGTCAAGATTCTTTGTTGATGGGTGAGTAGATGTAGTTAAGGGCAGAAAGAGGAAGAAAAGAGGAGACACATCATGTGCACCTACCCCCATCATGATACACACACACACTCACAAACATATCTATCTATTCCTCACTCTGAGGTCAAAGACCCATTACTGAGATGTTAGTTTCAATTTCTTAACAAAAACAGGAAGAACAAAATCTCCATAAATTATTGTGAAAGTATTGCCATTGAGTAAGTGTGTATACATTTCTCCAGAGGTGTTCCTTTGACATATTTAAAGACTTCCTATCTGCTGTCACAGTATTCTTTGATATGTATAATCTTCATGTTCATCTCTTGCTTCTATTGAATTAGAGATACCAAACTGCACTACTCAAAATGGAATTCTACCTCTTTATCAATATTGTTACCTTTTGAAACACCTCATTCATTGAACAGTTAACTGAGTCAGATCATGACACTATAAAACCATTAGTTTTTAAAATCTGGCCCATAAAACAAAAGTATTGCAAAATCTTTAAGAACAAATTAAACTGCAGACTTAATAATAAATGGAAATTTTAAGGCTAGAATTAATGAGGGAACGTGAATCTGAATATTAGGAAGGTGAAGGTAGATAGAAATACAACTTAGTCCTGCCAAGAAACACTAAAAAGCAACAAATCATCCAAAAAAGTGAAAATTAAGAAATTTTGAAGAAACAAAGAAAAGCTAGGCTAGCACAGAATCCATATAAAATCTCTGAAGTTAAGAAAAGCAATCTAGAGAGCATAAGGAAAACTCTTGATGGATTGCAGGAAGATCGGTTGTATTCAATCACAAAGGCGATAGGAAATGTAGGAAGAAAGAATATTTTGCCACACAAAATGTATGGTTTGTGTGGTAAAATGCACCTCAAAGTGTGTTTGTTATTGTTTTGTTTTTTACAGCAAATGTAGTTCTTAATTTTCCTGCTTGCAAAGCAGATGTGAGTTCATTAACCACATGGTGTTATCATTTTAGAGACCTGAAGAGCGTTCGGTTCCATTATTTTATTTTATAGACAGAAAAAAGAAGTAAAATGGATTCTAGCTCCACTATAACATGTTAACATCCACAACAAACTAAAAATGACATGCTTATGAAGTTGAGAGCTTTTTAGTATACATTTTTTACTTTAAGCAGATAATTTAATATTACCTCCTGTGAATGAATGGCCAATAACAATGCATTTTCGCTCACTAATGCTCAGGATACCAATCTTTTTGCATTTCATTTTGTTTTTGATGACTTCCAGTTTTCCTAAATTCACACTTCCCACATTCCACTTTCTGATTAATAATGGATATTTGCAGTTGTTTATCCTCATTTTGAGTTATACCCCATGAACACGTGGTTTAGTTACCCGAGAACGAAAAGGTGAAAAGGAATAACATCACATTCATCGACAAAAAGAGCATGACAATGTTGTCTGTGATAGGATAATATTCATATGCTTAAAAGGAAGACCAGTTAATATCACAATTAGTCAAATGTATACAGCCACTAAAGTCAGTGATGATGAAATTGAAGAATTCTACCAACTTCTTCGGTCTGAAATTAATCAAATATGCAATCAAGATACATTGACAATTACTGGTAACTGGAATAAAAAGGTTAGACACAAACAGGAAATACTAGTAGTTAGAAAACATGGACTTTGTGATAGAAAAACAATGCTAAAGATTGTGATTATATAATAGAATTTTGCATGACCAATGACCTAGTCTTGAAAATACTCTTATTTAAAAACATAAAAAGCACACATAGACCTCAGCAGATGGAATACATAGGAATCAAACTGACTATCTCTGTGGGAATATATGATGGAGAAGCTCCATATCATTAGCCAAAATAAGGTCAACTGTGGAATAGAACATCAATTGCTCATATGAAAGTTTATGCTAAAGAAAATTAAAGCAAGTACACGAGAGACTAAATACCACCTTGAGTATATCCAGCCTGAATTTAGAAACCATCTCAATAACACATTTGACGGATTAGACACTAATGACCCCAAATCAGAAGACTTATGGGATGGCATCAAGAACATCACACATAAAGAATGCAAAAGGTCATTAAACAGAGAGGAAAGACAGAAAATACTAAAAGAGATATTAGAAGGGACTCGGAAACTCACTTTCTATCAAAGAGAAGCTAAAGCACATGGAAGAAATTAATAAGTAAAAGAACTAGACAGAAAATTTCAAAGGGCAGCTCAAGAAGACAAAGTAAAGTATAGTGAAATGTTCAAAGACCTGCAGTTTGAAAACCAAAAGGGAAGAAGACACTCAGAATTTTTCAAGCTGTATGAACTGAAGAAGCAATTCAAGGCTTGAATTGCAATAATGAAGGATGTTATGGACAAAATAGTGAATGATACACATAGAATCAAAGAAAGATGGAAGGAATACACAGCCACTTTACCTAAAAGAAATGGCTGATCATCAACCATTTCAAGAGGTAGAAGATGATCAAGAACCATTGGTACTGAAGGAAGAAGTTCAAGCTGCACTGAGAGCACTGGCCAAAAATGAGACTCCAGCACGCACTTGAAGTTCTCTGGTTGCCAAGGAGCTGCTGGCAGAGTTTGTCAGGAGGGACGGGCAGCGACATCACCTACGGGTGTCCTGTGAGGCACCGAACCATGCCGACCCTCCCCAGGGCCTATTGTCTGGAGTGGCCCAGCTGAGGGAGAGGTTGGCCGAGCTTTTCAGCAGCCTGGTACAGCAGGAAGCTCAGGATCCGGTGGCGGTGGCAGCTGGAGGCGAAGCCTTAAATGGTGATGCTGAAGATGATACAGAAGATGAAAACAACCCTGATAACAGAATTAACTCAGATGGACCATCTGCAAAACGACCCAAACCACCAACTTAACACTAGTTTGTATGAAATCCAAACTAGAAGACTGCTACTGTCCTCCTAATTACAACACACCAACATTTCAGAAAAGATATGTGCTCTAATTTGGAAAAGCATCTGTTTTGTTCTCCTGAGACAGTTTTTGTCAAAGAAAAAACTTTCTTAACACCAAAAGAATTCTTAGAAATAAATCTGCTTTCTTGAGTGAGAAAGAAATTTTAGACCATGTAAATAAAATAGAACCACTGGGGGGGAAAAAATGAAGCTCCAGGAACTGAGGAAATCTTTCAACAAACTGATGCAGCACTGGAAATGCCTACACCAAGAAAATTGGAAGACAGCTACTTGGGCAACTGATTGGAAGTGATCCATATTTGTGCCCATTTCAAGAGAGATGATCCAGTGGAATGTGGGAATCATTGAAAACTATCATTAATATCACATGCAAATAAAATACTGCTGGAGAACATTCTAAAACTTTTGCAGCAGTACATTGACAGGAGCTGCCATAAATTCAAGATGGATTCAGAAGACAAAATGGAAGGAGGATATTACACTAACATTAGACGTATCTTAGCTGAAAGCAGAGAATACCAGAAGGATGTTTATTTGTGCTTTACTGACTATGCAAAGGCATTTGACTGTGAGGGTCATAATAAACTATGGAGAATGTTATGAGGAAGGAGTATTCTAGAACACCTAATTCTACTCATAAGAACTTGTAATGGACCAAGAGGTGGTCATTTGAACTGAAAAAAGAGATACTGAATGGTTTAAAATGAGGAAAGGTGTGTATAAGGGTTGTATATTTGAACCATATTCAATCTGTATGCTCAACAAATGATCCAAGAAGCTAGATTAAATGAAGAAGAATGTGGTATTAGGATTGGAGGAAGACTCATTAACAATCTGTGATATACAGATGCCACAACCTTGCTTACTGGAAGCAAAGAGGACTTGACATACTTACTGATGAAGATCAAGGATTAGCATCTTCAGTATGGATTGCACTTCAATGAAAAGAAAACAAAAATCCTCACACCTGGACCAATAAATAACATTATGATAAATGGAGAAAAGATTGAAGTTGTCAAAGACTTCATTTTACTTGGAACCACTATCAACTCATTAAAGCAGCAGTCAAGAAATCAAATGATGTATTGTGTTAGGCAAATCTGCTGCTGCAAAAAAAAAAAAAAAAAAAAAAAAAAAAAAAAAAATGTTGAAGAGCAAAGATGTCACTTTTAGGATTAAAGTGAAACTGACACACACCATGGTATTTTCAATTGCATATATGCATGTGAAAGTTGAACATTAAATGAGGAAGACCATAGAAGAATTGATGAATTTGAATTATAGTGTTGAAGAAGAACACTGAAAATATCATGGACTTCCAGAAGAACCAATAAATCTGTTTTGGAAGCGGTATAGCCAGAATGTTTCTTGGCAACCACCAAGGCAAGACTTCGTCTCTGTTCTTTGGTTATGTTGTCAGGAGGGATGAGTCTCTGGAGAAGGACATCATGCTTGATAATCTCAACAATAAAAAGAAGACTGTCAACAACAATGGGCTCAAATATAACAAATAATTTGAGGATTATGCAGGAATAGGCAAGTCGCTGAGTCTGAATTAATTTGATTGCATCTAACAACAACAACCTATGAACTCATAGAAAATGGAACCATTACATCAAACTTCTCATTTTCTATTTCACTTTCCACAAAATTTAAGGAAATTCAAATTTTAGGGATACTGGAAAAGATTAGTATTTGTGCCCATTCCAAAGAGAGGTGGGTGACACAACGAAATGCGGAAATCATCGGACAATCTCTTTGATATCCCATGCGAGTAAAATTTTACTAAAGGTATTACAGAAATGGCTGCAATCATACATTGACAGAGAATTTCCAGAGGTTCAAGCCGGATTCAGAAGAGGCCGTGGAACTAGGGATATCATTGCTGATGTCCGATGGATCTTGGCTGAAAGCAGAGAATATCAGAAAGATGTTTACCTGTGTTTTATTGACTACGCAAAGGCTTTAGATTGTGTGGATCATGACAAGCTATGAACAGCATTGCGAAGTATGAGTATTCCGGAACATTTAATTGTGCTCATGAGGAATTTGTACATGGACAAAGCGTCAGTTGTTTGAACAGAGCATGGGAACACCGAATGGTTTAAAATTAAGAAAGGTACGCAACAAAGTTGTATTCTTTCACCATACTTATTCAACCTGTGTGCTGAGCAAATAATCCAAGAAGCTAGGTTATATGAAGAAAAACGTGGCATCAGGACTGGAGGAAGACTCATTAACAACATGCAATATGTAGATGATACAACCTTGCTTGCTGAAAATGCAGAGGACTTAAAACATTTACTGATGAAGATCAAAGACCACAGCCTTCAGTATGGATTGCATCTCAGTGTAAAGAAAATAAAAGTCCTCACCCCCTGGACCAATAAACAACATTCTTATCAATGGAGAAAAGATTGAAGTTAAGGACTTCATTCTTCTTGGATCAACTGTCAACACTCGTGGAAGCAGCAGTCAAGAGATCAGACGGTGTATTGCACTGGGCAAATCTGCTGCACAGAAACTGCTTAAAGTGCTGAAGAGCAGAGATGTCAGCTTGAGGACTAAGGTGTGCCTGACCCAAGCCATGGTATTTTCAATAACCTCATATGCATGCGAAAGCTGGACAGTATAAGGAAGACTGTAGAAGAATTGATGCCTTTGAGTTGTGGTATTGGAGGAGAATACTAAAAGTGCCATGGACTGCCAAAAGAACCAATAGTTCTATTTTGAAAGAAGTGCAGCCAGAGTGTTCCTTGGAGAACAAGATGGCCAAACTTCGTCTCTCATATTTTGAACATATTGTCAGGAGGTTCCAGTCACTGGAGAAGGATATCATGTTTGCTAAGGTGAAGGTCAGAGAAAAAGAGGAAGACCCCCAACGAGATGGATTGGCCAAGTGGCAGCATCGATGGACTCAAGTGTGGCAACAGTAGTGAGGTTGGCCCAGGATCGGGCAGTGTTTCTTTCTGCTGTGCATAAAGGTCGCCATGGGTCAGTAATGACTTGATGGCACCTAACAACAACAACAACATGTGATATCAAGTTTATTTTCATCTGGAAAATAGTAGGTTTGTTGCAGGAAGCTATCTAGTAAATACTGCTTCATTTGCATTTCAGTCTCTAAAAGTCTGGTAGCAGAAGGCTTGATTTAATAGATTGTAATATATGGAGTTATTGCCTTGTTCTTTACTAATGAGCATAAGTAGAAATATATTTTGCACAGGTCACTTATTTTTCAATAAAACCTCTCAAATGGACCACAGTCATTTCTTTAAACAAATAGGAATAAGGTGACGATATTGGACAAAATAAATTTTCATATTTGCAAATGTATTGATTTTTTGATCTGTCTAAGAATTCAAAACTCTCTAGTAGAGCCACTCTTCAGCTATAATGCTCCACCACCCAAAGAGTCTTAATGTGCTCATGGCAAAATATAAGGAAAACCTCAGTGTATGTGCACATTCCAAAAAGTCAAAGGTGGGATTGAAAGACAAAATAAGAAAAGAGTGGGAATGTACATATCTATGAATAGACCCTCAAAGAGAACCATGCATCAGAGAATCTGAGATAAGACTTTTCAACCCATTCTTGCACAGATAATTATTTTACACATTTTTTGTTTTTTCTATTTTGATACACATGAGGTTGCCATTAGTTGGGGTTGACGCATGGCAACTGGTTGTTTGTTTGTTTGTTTGTTTTGTTTTGTTTTTAATACTGAAGATAACATGTGCCTCTTACTTTTAAGTCTAACATGCATGTGATTCTCATGCAAGTCACTTGTACATACATATCTGTCAAGCCACCACAAAATCCAGTTTATTCTTAACTGAATCTTTGCCACATAGGTTTGTTCCATGTGATTTATAGCTTCTGCTACATAGTGACATTTGGCTAAGGGTCAGGTTCTAGTACTGCCACTTGCTTGATGTGTGGCTTTGGGAGCAAAAATAGTCTCCTTCTCTGAACCTAAGCTTACTCAAACTGTCATACGTGCTAGATGAATTTTGAGGGTTCTTCCCAATTTCACACCTGTTTCTCTGTATATAGTTGAACAAGTTGAAGACACACAAAATACTGATGCATAAAGTTAATGGAAAGCCAGGCTTACAATGAATTATTATAATAGATGCTGGATTTCATTATCTCTAATATTTGGTGGAAGGAGCCTTGGCAAGGCAGCGGTTAATCACTCAGCTGTTAACCTAAAGTTCACGTGTTCAAATGCACCAGCCAGTATGTGGGAGACAGATGTGAAAGTCTGTTTCTGTAAAGATTAACAGCCTTGGAAACTATGGGGCAGTTCTACCCTGTCCTAGAGGGTTTCTCTGCCTCTGAATCAACTTGGCAGCAAAGTATTTGGTAGATGTGATGGTTAATATGATATTATTGATAAATATTGAGGTAGACACATTTTAAACTTCTCAATTCCTAATTTTTTTATACTGAGCATCTTTGAAATTAATACATTGGTTTGCCTAAGCCATCTAAGAGAATGGCCTATCTTCAGTAGCTATCATTTCCGTCATTTTCTGAGTCAACAAAGAAAGATGGAGTGGGAGTCAATAAAGTGCAGTGAAAAGAGCACAAGGCTGTGGAATCAATATGGACTTGGACTTGAATTATGGCTTCATCCTTCCTACATGGTTTGGGATAGGTCCATGGTCACTCTATGCCTCAATGACACTACAATACTAGCTCAGCGTCATAGGATTATTGTGAGGATCAAATGAGATGATACACATAAAAGCTTAGCTGAGTGCCAAACACATAGAATAGACTCAAAAACTTTCTTCGTCCTTTCTATCATTTTAAATGGCTAGTCCTGGTGTGGAAATACAGGACAAACACTGGACTGCTAACAATAAGGTCAGCAGTTCAAACCCACCAGCTACTCCTTGGAAACCCTATACAGTGTCACTATGAGTCAGCGT